TTGCCCAGACTAGAGTGCAGTGGCCGCTCCCGGCCACTGCAGCCTCGCCTGCTGGGCTCCAGCGATCCTTCTGCCTCAGCCTTCCAAGTAGCCGGAATTACAGGCATGTGCTATCATGCCCAGCTGATTTTTTAAATTTTTATTGTAGAGATGAGGTCTCGCTGCCCAGGCGGGTCTTGAACCCGCGGGCTCAGGCAATCCACTCACCTCAGCCTCCCAAAGGCGCAGGATTACAGGCTGAGCCACCGAGCCCGGCTTTACTATAATCTTTTTAAAGGGGAATTAATAAATTAATATATTAACAAAAAACGAGACCATGCAGTAACCAATGATGACAATGTGTCATAAATCATGATTTATAATTTTTCTAAAGCTGCACAACTTTGGACAACTATAAAAGTCGGCCTACAGAAAACTGTAGTTAACTTCACAGTCTCTGAAGACAAATATCTCAGTCTAAAATTCCAGCAATTCTCAAGACTAGCTCTGTGGACTTTATCGATCCACTCAAATTCCTTATGATTTCCTGAAAGGACTGTCAGAAGGATGAAGTGAAACAGCATAGGACATACATGGTACTTAATAAGGCACCAGGCATGAAGTCAGTAATCGGTATATATTAGGCATCAAGCCTATATTATGGGACCTACCACATTTGGGTTGAAGTTGATGGTATAAACATGAATACACCCAGAGAAAGTGTACAGACTAAAGAGAAAGGGCTCTGAGATGCCTGCTGCAGTCAATATTGAAGAAGGGATCAGAGTAAGAAGACAACAGTAAAGATCAAGTCAGAAGAGAGAAAAACAAAACAAGAGGATGAAATGCTATAAAAGATTAAGCATGGTAATGTGGAGAGACTTTCTAGGAGTTGAAAGGCAATAGAGTATCATGGTTAAGTGTGTAGGGTGTGGAGCCAGAATTTCTTGGCTCAAATTCTGTCTCTGCCAAGCTAGATTTTTCAGGCAAATTAGCTTTTTGTTATGGACTAAATGTTTGTGTTCTCCCCAAAGACAGGGCTTTTATGGAAGTAATCTAGGTTAAGTGAGGTCATAAAGGCAGGCCCTGATCTGATAGGATCAGCGTCCTTATAAGAAAAGATACCAGAGCTCACTTGATCTCTCTGTCTCTGCATGCACCAACTGAGGGAAGGCCATATGAGGACACTGTGAGAAGGCAGCCACTTGTAAGTCAGGAAAAGAACTCTTACCAGAACCTAACCTTGCTGGTACCCTGACTTTGAATGTCTAGCCTCTAAAACTGAGAGAAAATACGTTGTATAAGCCATCCAGCCTATAGTATTTATATAGTACTTGATAGTATATCACAGCAGCCAGAGAAGATTAACTCTTTTCTAAGACTCAATTTCCTCATCTGAAAAACCAGGATGCTCCCAGCTCCTGTTTTATAAGTTGTTATGAGCATTACATGAGAAAAAGCATGCAATTCATTCATTTGCATGATAAAGGGTAAATGTTCAATAAATTGTAGATCACTATTATCATTATTATAGTTGCTGCATTTGGCAATCAGGATGGCAACAGTGACCTGGTAAGAACACTTTCAGTTCTGTGGTGCTGAAATACTCCAGGTCTGGGCCTAAACAAGTAAAGGAAAAAATACTAATTGCTTAGGAGTATGTGGAGCAATGAAAATTCTTACTCATGGCTGGTGGAAATGTGAAATGGTACAGTTACTCCGAAACTGGTGGTTTTGATTACTCATTACATGATCTCGCCAGTCCCTTGTATGTATAATCCAAACAGGAATGTGGATTTATATCCAATAAAAAATATGATCAAGAATATTCATAAGCAGTAGTCTTGATATTATTCTAAAAATGGAGACCAAATCAAATATCTATCAATAGGAAAATGGGTATATACAGTCTGTTCATTCAATGAGATATTGCATAGTAAAGAACTAACTCTAATGATATACAACCATGTGAATGAATCTGAGTCATAAAGAGTATAAAAAGACAGACTTGACACAGTAGGTACGGGGGGCTCTATTTATATGCCTTCAAAACTAATGCATGGTCATGGAGTCTAAACATTGGTTACTCTTGTAGAAGGGGATATTGACAAAAAGTGAGCACAAGGAGCCTATTAAGCGTGGAGAATAATGTATTTCTTGGCCTGTGTGGTGGTTTCTCTGATTTATACATATATGTAAAATTTCAGAGATGAACCTTTAATGATTTGTACATTCACGATGTGTAAAATACACCTCAGTACAAAAATAAAAAAATAACAAGGGGAGGAGGTCTTGTGTAGATGTCTCTTCTAAGAATGAGAAAACTCCTCTAATAAGCTTGGTTGTTCAGGTGAAATAAGATTAACAATATTTAAATTCTGTTGGAGAGATAAAAGGATTTTTTAATATCTTCCCCAAGTGTCAGAAATGTCACCATTTTAAGAAAATATTGAAGAGGCAGGAAATAAGAAGCATATTCCCTGATGCAGCAGACAGATTCATGTATGGCTCCCCATGATCCCCAACTCATAATGTTTGCACCCTTTTATGATCCCTTCTATGTGTATGTTGGTTAAGACCTTGTTTGCTGCTAAAGAATAGAATTCGGCAAAGGTGACAGAATGTATGTAATAAAATGGATGTAATTTTATAAGATTGTAACATTCATCTTGCTGGAGTCTCTCCCACAGTTGTTTGATCTGAAGAAGCTGAAATGCTCTGAGCTGCCCAAAACCCCAGTCACCTAAGCTGGGCTTGAACTCCTGATCCACAGTTGGGAGACAATAATGAGTGATGATAAATGAGTGATGTTTTAAGGTATAATGTGTGTGGTAATATAGTTACAAAGCAGTAACTAACTAATATACCTGAGAAGGCTGGAGAAGACGTGATCTAGAGTTTGCTGGGGGAATAACCATGCTGGGGATAAGAAGTGAGAAGGAAGCTGCAGGGATGAGTCAGATGCCGACAAATCAGAAAGGCAAAAAGCAAGAAAAACAAGTGTGTGGCCTTTATTCCTAACATAAAGTAGGTCATATGTTGAGACATCAGCAACAAGGGAGGTAGTGATAATTCAAACAACATGTGAGTAGATGTAATATACACAGCTGACCAGAGACAAAAGTAGATGTGGAGAAACCAGTTAGGAATCTGTTAGCATCATGTAGGCAAAAGATGATAATAGCTTGGCCTACAGTGCTAATGCTGCAGCTGATGGAATTAGTAAAGGTTATGGATTCAGGAAATGTGTCTGATGTAAAATGGCCAAGATTTGGGGATACTGGGTATGATGGAGATGGAGGTGGTAAGGGGTTGTCCAAGTTCAATTTTGGCCTTCTCCATTTTTGGAAAGGGCCATTTCAATAATGAGGGAAGATGAAAGGCATGGGCAAGATCGTGCACTCCTTTTTAGACATGATGAGCATGAGGTGCTTTTGAGATGTTGAAGTGAAGATGTGGAATTGGGGATGGGGAGAAGGCTGGGTCAGAAGGCTGGCTTAGCAGCCTGAAAGAACACTAAAGGGACAAGATGATGAATCTGCAGTGACACAAATCTACACATCTGATGGCTGCAGCTTCCCTTGGTAGCCCAGATGTGGCAATGACAAAGGCAAATGTAACTCTGAGGTTAAACAAAACAGGACAGCAAGAAGACAGCAAGAAGACCCTCAGGGAGGGTCTCTGAGCATCCGATTCACAAACTGAAGGATGGATGCATGCAGAGATGAATGGACAAACAAATGACGGACGGCGAAAGTGGAAAAGGGAGAGATGCAAAGTCAAAGCAGTAATGGAAGTAGAAACCCATAGAAAAAGAAAGGGCTGTCTTCTGAATTCCGAGGAAAATTTGAGATATCATTATTCACTATGACTGATAACACATGAATATCCAGCGACTTGGAAGGCTGAGGCGGAAGGACTGCCTAAGCCCAGCAGGTCGAGGCTGCAGTGGCCGTGAATGTGCCACTGCACTCCAGTCTGGGCAACAGAGTGAGACTCCAATTAAAAAAAAACACACAAAAAATTAATATTGCTAATAGGTAACTCTGGTTGAGCCACTTTGGATCAGGCAGTGCGCTAAGAAGTTTCCTATTATTTAATTACATTCCTAAACAGTCCAGTGATGCAGAAACTATTATCACTATATTCTTCAAATGTGGGCTAAGTTTAGCAGATGAGTGTATATATATATATGTTCACAATACAAATGGGCTTTTCTCCTTGGGCACAAAAAAATCTAAACCATATTTCCCAGTCTGATAAAATATGTAGCCTAATACCCAGTTCTAGTCAATAAAATGTAAATGAAAGTGCTCTGTGTGTGCAAGTGGATATGACTACTGCCCTTCTCTCCTATTCCTCTTGGCCAGGGCAACCTTAAAGCCACATACATTAGACTATATCTTATCCCTAAATAAATACATGTTACAGTATTTTCCTGCTGACCCATTTTGGACTATGGCATGCATGAGAAAAAAAGTTTGTTGGGTCACCAAAATTTTGGAGTTTATCTTCTGGAACAGGTAGCATTTGCTCAGCCTAACTTTTATAACAACGGCACAGCGAGATCACACAACTTCCCTAGGGTCACGAAACTGGTGAGTGGCAAATCATTAGAGCCTAGAGTCTGTCTCCTAAGCAGCGTACCATATTCCAACCAGAGTAAAGGCAATGTGTGTGTGATGGGGTGCCAAGACCCGCCTGAGTGGTAGGGATCCAGGCAGGCTGCGGACGCTGAGACCACTAGAATAAGTTCAGGAGCTGAAGGCCCATTCCCTCTTCCCTTCTTTGCTGTTTGGCACCTTCCACTAGCAGGGACTTTGATGATCTAAGCATGAAAGTTCTGAGAGTACGACAGGCATGGCTTACTTTAAGAATCCATTGTTCCCGTTTCTCCCAGACTGCGGTTTTGGCATTAAACTTAACATAACTCAAACTCAGGTCACATTTGGGAGTCTTTAATACGGTACAAGCTTCTTTTAAGATTTAATAGTATATTTGTAGAATTAGTATATACATACAAAGTGCTGTTTCAACCTTAATAATATAGATAAATATCTAGAGCTACTAGATACGGCCCAGCACAAACTTTGGGCTGGGCCACATTCATAAAGGCTCAGCACGAACTTTGGGCTGGGCCACGTTCCTAAGGGTCCAGCGCATACTTTGGACTAGGCTGCTTTCTTTTAAACTGGGTTTTAGCTACAGTTAGTATAGGGTTTTTTCTATTTATTATAGAAATCAAATTTATTTTATTCATAGAAAGTATTGTAGAATAGGTTATGCTACGTCAGTGAATTATGTCAGTTCAAGCATGATCAAACATGGTATTTTGAGATTTAATAAGAATACAGCTAACTTTAGAAATTACATTGTTTCCATTTTCTACATTTGCGGTTTTGGCTTTAATACAATTTACATTTATATTTGGGTTTTATTTTTTAGAAGCTTTATTGCTGATGATCAGGATTAGGAATTAGAAACTTTTATAAAAGTTAAAATAGATTTATAGGATTTCGGAACAGCCATTTTGTTAAGAGATTGTAATCAATTGTTCCCAGAAATGGCCCAGCGTGATCTTTTGACTGAGCTACATTCCTTAGGAATTGATTTGGGCTATAATTAAGAGTTTCTATAGTGTAGGTAGAATAAGTGTAAAATAGAGAGGACTTGGGATTTAGGTTGGTTATTGGGTGTTGCATATGCATAGGTTTTAAAAGTTATTGATTATTAGAATATTACAATATTAGATTTGCTGTATTGCTTTTAAGAAATATTAACCAAGCATGAGAAACAGTGAGATAGTTTTGGGATCCTCATTCCTCATGCTTGGGGAAACACCTGGTGGGTGGGGGATGCCCCTCATCCACCAGGCTCTATGTTCATGTAAAAGTCTTGTGATTTAATTGGGATTGTTCTTCCTCATGCCTGAGGAAACACCTGGTGGGTGGGGGATGCCCCCTCCTGCACCTGGCTTTGTGTTCACGTGAAAGACTTGTGAGACTGTCTGTGTAAAAATTGGGGATAAATACCCGCTGTAAGTTTCAATAAACGGCTTCTGTTTAATTCACTGAACAGTTGTCCATTTTCTTTCTCTTTCTTCTTCTTTATATCTATCCCTCTATCTTTCTTTCAATATCTATCCCTACGAGTCACCGACGCCATCACACCTTCCAAGGGACCTCCTAAACCTCTCTTCGGGGGCTGGCCCCCTGAAGGTGGGAATTTAGGAGGGCCACAGTTCAGAGGGCTATATACTCCAGGAGGGCCACAACAGGAAACTGTCCAGGAGGGTCATAAACTGTCCATAAAATTTCAGGCACAGTGATACCCTGTCTGAAGGCTACACACTTGTTTTTCTTGCTTTTTGCCTTACTGATTTCTCAGCATCTGACTCATCCCTGCAGCTTCCTTCTCACTTCTGGTGGTTTGTAGGCTGCCATGACACATACTGCCAGACTCTCAGCTATGCAGACTCTCAGCTACCTACCTGCATAGGTACTTTGGTACAGGCCTCTCTTCACCATCCATAGTTCTTGCCGATGTTCTAGTAGGCAGAGCAGCTCTGGGTTGGGAACTGGATGCCCTGTGCATGGAGAAATAAAAGGAGTATGAGTATACAGGTACAGACAAGAGGAAAAATCTCAAGTTGAAAGGAGTATATACCTTCAACATACTGCAATGCAACCCGCAAAAAAGAAGCCCCTCCCCACGAATTAACCTAAGTCAGTAAGATTCAACCTCCCTATGCATAAAAATTACCTACCAATGCCTGGTTCCAAAAACAGAAGAAATTAAAACAAGTCTCTGAGCATAAGGAATGAGCACTGATAGTTTTTAAAGCTTTCCAAGTGATTCTGGTGCCCAGGAATGGGTGAAAAACGCTGGACTAATTTGGAGAATGGTATCTACTGAGAATCAGCTGTCTGAGGTAAGCAGGTGGCCTAAATCAGTTATCCCTTCTGAAGAAAAATTCTTTAATCCAGGTTGGGAGGACAGAACTGTATGCAGGGGCCTGTTGCTCTAGTCACTGTGGTCTTACAAGGGTGCTGGCTCTAAGAGCTAGACCAAGGAGGGAAAGCAGACAGAGAGAACTGGGCTGGTACCTACTAAGCACTGCCTCAGGGCTTCTCATTAGGTGAAGTAGTAAATGATTTTCAGAGTGAAACCAGTATGAGGTGGTCTTCTGTTACATGCAAACACATTTTACTTAAAAAGATACCAGTAGAACTAATGACAAACACCTTCTTAGCACCTGTCTAAATCTCCTGCTTACTAGAGACCCTCCTGTTATCCATAGGGCCTATTAACTGGGCTGTGAGAACATTGGACTCAACCAGGCTGGGCCGATCACTTTCCCTCTTGTGGGAATTTGGAATAAGGACATCAGATTGAGGCCAGCTTATGCTAGACACTGGAATGAAAGTGTTGACAAGGATTGTGTTTCTTACACAATAATCCCTGATGGTGATACACAGAAACCAAGAAAGAGGTCAGACCACAACAAGCTGAGGCTGCCGGGAAAAGATGGGCTCCTGAGGCCTCAACCAGCCATGCTTAGAAAAAGAGAGTAAAAAGAAAGAGACTGTGGGTCCCCCACATGGGAGAGAAATGAGGTCTTACCCAGTGAGACCAGGAGTCTGCAGGTATCCAGCATCACCTCCTGGTACAGGGTTCTCTGGGCCAGGTCCAGGTGTTCCCATTCCTCCTCAGTGAAGATCACAGCCACATCTTCAAATGATACAAAAGCCTGGAAAGTCAAACAGAGGTGAAGGGGTAGCTGTGCAGCTATTAGATGAAATTGGAGTCTATTGATTGGTTACTGGCAAAAAGTCCAGAGAAACCCAAGGTTTGAACCACTGGGCTCTCCTGAGAACCTAGCTCTGTGGAGGTAGATGGTACAGAATACAAAGGTGTGGGAGAGACAAAAGTCTCCTACGTGGGAAGCCATTAGAGAATGACACAAGACAATGATAATCCCATGTGGACTGTGAGGTGCAGACAGTAAGTGTTCTGGGATGTTGGAAGAGTGGATAAAAAAAAATTCATATAATGATAGCAGCAGGAGCAGCTGAGCCTCGCTGGTCTGTGCTGTTTGCCTGTACCTGAGGGCTTTATGTGGAAACTAAAAGTCTCCAGGTCTGGAATCTGACACCTGAGGTTTAAATTCAGTCTCTTGAAGCTAAATGTACCAGATGTGTGACCTTGGGGAAGTCTCTTAATATCTTTGAGCCTCAATTTCCATATCAATACAGTAATAGTTCCTACTTCACCAGATTATTGTAGGAATTGAAGAGAAAAATGTTCATAAAGCAAACACCATAGCACCCAGCACATGTCACAATGTGTTTGTGAACTTTATTAATCATCCCATAGCCCATGAGGTAAATGTCATCACACCCTCTATTCTATAATCAGCAAATTGAGACTCAGAGAGTCAGGTCACTCAGAGTAATATGTTTAATGAGCGAGGCAGAGTTTGAACCCAGGTCCCTCTGGTCCAGAATTTATGTGTACTCCCCATAGTTCTCCATCACCACAATGACAAAAGCAAGAAACATTTCCAGTGATTTTTACAGTTAAAACCACTTCAGCCACTGCCGAACATATTTCCATAGATGTGGAAGGAAAAGTAGAGTGTTTCCTCATCTGCCTCTCAGATGAAGCACCTGAAGAGGTCCCAACTGCCTGGGGCTTGGCAGGGTTCAAACAAGCTGCCGCTGTGACTTGCAGACTCTCTGGGAGATTCCACAATGAGCCACTAGCCTGGTCTTTTTATTTCTGAGCCACTGTCAGCACAGTTCCCTATGGTACTGCTATTTAAGTAAAAGGCCACACAACTGGCCAAGGACAATGCAGGCTGTCGCTCTAAGAACCTAGGCAGTCGCCTTTACCACAATGGCTGTCCTAGGTGAGGATAGGATGGTAGCATGAGGATCCATCAGATGACCACACAAGATACATCTTAGCAGCTGTCAAGAGCCCTTGGCAAACCCCCTAGACATTCTCATGCCTCTTTGGACAAAAAACATTCCCTTTGTCCATGCAGTTCCCTTTGCCTAGAAGTTTCCCCTATAGGGAAAATATCCCTCACTGCCATGCTCACCAGCAAGAGAAAGGCCTTCACCCTCTCCTGGCAAAGTTTACTTTAGTGTCACCCTCGGGGTTCCCAACCCATTGTGAGTAAGTGTTGATTAAAAATTTAGGCTTGCCAGAAGCAGTGACTTGTGCCAGCAATCCCAGCTCTTTGGGAGGTTGAGGAGGAAAAATCACTTGGGGGCAGGATTTTGAGACCAGCCTGAGCAACATAGTGAGGCATCCCTCATCTCTAAAAAATAAAAATAAATTAGCTGAATGTGGTGGCATGCAAAGTTGCAGTGAATTATGATCATGCCTCTACACTCCAACTTGGGTGACAGAGTGAGATCCCAACTCTAGGGGAAACAAACAAAAAAAAAGAATTTTAAAATGTAGGCTCTCATGTCAACATACTGAATATGTTTCTACTTCTTATAAGCTATATGACCTAGGATAGTCAATCTGAGTCTCCAGTTCCTCTTCTGTAAAACAAGGAAAAGGAATGAAACTTACTAGAGGAGGAGGGGATTAACTGAGGTGATAAACAGACACTGTCCCTCGGTGCATATCAAGGGCTCATATCAAGGGCTTGATGGAGACCAGTGCATAACAAGGACTCAATGGAGACCAGTTGTTTTTAGTATTTTTCCTATTTGCTCCTGCAGAATCCTGGGAAAGTTCAATGCAAGGGACAAGCCCCACAAACAACAGGGGACAATGATAGAGAAAAGTGGATAACGAGCTTGGCATGTTCATGAGAGAACAGAATGGAGAGAGTTATCCAGGTAGACTGGGTAGAGACTTTGCAGCCATGGTTGGGAGGAGGGGAAAGGGAGGTTAGATTAAATGTAAGTATGATGCAAGCCTCAGAGGGTACAGTCTTATTCATCAAACACAGAGTAAGTGGAACAAGGGCTGTTCCAGGACTGGGGATGGAAGAAAGAACAGGAGCTCACATGATGGGTTGGGAGCAGATCCGCAACAATAAAGGTAACGTCAGAGGCCTCTAGAAAACAACAAAGAATGACATGACAACAAAGATTAGAAGTGTCTTTAGATGAGGCAACAAGGCTGGAATGAAGTTAGAGAATAGGTCAGGTGAGGAAAAGTGAATAAATGACAAGTCCAGAAGGTGACCAGGGCAATGATGATGAAACAGGGTGACAAGCGGGAGAGTGACTTGAGGCCTGTTGTGTGCTTACATTTCAGGAGACACACATTTCTGTACACTGTCATTAATGGATACTGTAATGGATTTGCTTTTCAAACATGAGTAAATATGTTAAACAGGAAAATAAGTGAAAAGCCAAATTCACTTGTAATAAACAGATGGCACCAGCAAAGAGCAATCCGATGACTGTCTTCTATCTGTAGGGGGAATTTCCGACTATCAGAGAAGCGGCAATATCAAACAAATCGCTATTTCCACTTCACCTCTGCCCTTGAGGTTCTCGTTCCCTCTCCCGGTTTTCAGCTAAAGTCAGACCCCGGCTGCAGTGAGCCCCTAAGCTAACAGCAGGACCTGGGGAATCCCTCCCCAGAAATGACATCCAGAGTGATGTTCTTTGAAGAGTGGAGGACACACGTCCCAAGCTTACCCTCTCCAGTCTCAACAGAGAGAATCATTAACCCTCGCATTTCAGACCCGAGGATACGGAGGCCCAGGGCAGCGAGTAGGTTAGAGCCATGCTCAAGGTGAGAGCCAGAAATGGGCCCCCTGGGCTGGAAGTGATTAGGCCTGCTCCCTTCCCCCAACCTACACCAGGGCCCCCAGACCGGAAGGCATCAGAAGGGAAAGGCGAAGTGTCCGGAATCTCTTATTTCACAGCAGATGGGCCGCGCGGGGGCCTGCGGGGCCCTCCACTCACCGACGCCGGCGCCGCCATGAAACCCCGTGGGCGGAGCGAGGCCGGGAGTGGCGGCGACAAAAGTCGGCCCGGCGGGCTCAGCCGACCCCTCACTCCATCCCCGGGTGGCGTCGGACTTCAGTCTCCGCCGCGTAAAATGCGCGCAGGTGCACGGCGCGGTGGGGACAGAAGGCTGGCCGGTCTCAGGGTCCCTGAAGCGCACGGCGGACCACCCTGCTGGGGGCGGGTCGCCGCTCGCACAAAACGGGCGAGGGGGTCCCGTTCTCCTGGCTGTCCTCTGGGAAGCAGCCTCTGTCCAGCCTTCTAGCCTGTGGAAAGCAGGTAAGGACAGGGCAGCCACGACCGGAAGACGTCCGGACACTCAACGCCGGAAGCCCCACCCTCGCGGCCACAGGAAACGCGCCTCCGCGCTTTGCGCCCGTGTCCCCGCCTGACCCCCGACGCTCGGGCACTGCCTTCTGGGTAATGTAGTTTCTGGCCTGAATCCGGGTGGAACTCGGAGAAACGGAGTCCAAAGGTTCCAAAGAGCGGGCGTGGCCTCGCTTCCTCTGGGACAGCGGTCCCGAACCTATTTGGCATCAGGGACCGGTTTCGTGGAAGAAGCTTTTTTACACGAATGGGCGTGGGGGTGGTCTCGGGATGATTCAAGCGCATTACATCTATTGTGCATTTTATTTCGATTATGATGACATTGTAATATAGAGTGAAATAATTATACAACCCATCATAGTTCAGAATCAGTGGCGCCCCTGAGCTTATTGTCCTGCAACTAGACAGTCCCATCTGGGGTGATGGGAGACAGTGACACTTGAAGTGTATTGCTTATGTCCAGTCCACTCCATAATCTCATTTTTGGTTGCTGTCACTGCAGAAAACCCTGCTTTACGAAGATAGAATGTTGGAAATAAATAGAAGCAAGTTTTTCAGCGCTAATCTGACAGGAGGTGCAGCTCAGGGAGCCATGGGGAGCGACTGTAAATAAAGATGAAACTTCTCTGGCTCAGCCTCCTCTCACCTCCTGCTGTGCAGCCTGTTGGGCCACAGACCTGTCAGTGGCCCAGGGCTTAGGGACCTCTGCCTAGGAGACATGCACACATTTCCGTAGCCACTGGAGGAAATGGCCCACACTCAGGAGTCTCTAATAGGTGACCTATGCCTTGGCTTTCTTTCCTTTGTCCCCCCTCCTGTACCAGCACTTCTCTCTCTGAGTCTTGAGATCGAGATTTATGAGAAAAAGATGATCCTTTAATACAATAATATTAAATGTTCCCCTGTCAGTCATTTCCAGTCTACATCGCATTACCTGGGAACTTGCTGCAGATACAAGTTCTCAGGCCCCACTTCAGACCCACTGAATCACATACTTCCGGATGAGCCCAGCACTTCCCTTAAGTCCTCCAGGGAATTTTGAAACTCCAAAACATTTGAGCAACTGGACTCTTTAAATTCCAGTGAATAAATGAGACAAGACTGCCTATTTGGTGGGAGATTAACTAAAAATTGCACTGGGCCTGGAACATGAGAAATATGTAAGAGTGGTTGCTGTCATTATCCTATGTTATTGGCAACATAGTCACAAGGATTTTACATACACTGCTGTGGTAGAGTACTTTGTCAGAGATACTTTGCAGACTCATTGGTGATATTTGTTGAAACATAAAATACACTGACTCTCTGACTTAACAGGGAGTCTCATGCATAATGTTTTAAATTTTACATAACAACACACTTTTGTGCCATTTGGCTCATTTAAAAAAATAGTATATGTAGTAGGGTTTCATAGTCTACAGGTAGACCTATTGCCCAAGGGATACTTTCTTGCAGGTCACATGATTCAACACCTAAAACCACTGCAACTAACTAACTACCCATAGGCCTAAGCGGAGAGTGGAGCTGATGTGGTTTCTAGTTTTTGGCATAAAATGGCATGTTCTTCTCTAATTCACAGCATCTAGAATCTCACCTCTCTCATGCTTCACCTCCAGCCCCTAGGGTAACCAGAACCAGGGACAAATGAGTGACCATGAGACGGTCCAGCCGGTGTCCAACAGCTCAGGGTTACCAGGTCTTGTACTCATCAAGACATTTTCAGGCTGTCATCCAAATGTGTGGCCCACAAGAAGAGAGAGATAACTCTTGAGCAATGTGAAAAGTAAAAAGTATTAAGTCCAAAAAGTCATCCTCAGGATGGAGCAGAAATGAGAAAACATAATGAAGATATTTTTTGCAACGACTTCCACCCATATTCCATTGCCCACTACTCATTTACATTGCCTACATGTAAGAAAAACTGAGACGTGCTGTCCTCTAGAGTGTCCAGAAAGAGAGAATGGGACGGTCACCCAGACATTTTATAGCATAGTCCATTAATTTGGTCATCAAATATCCATTTTATTATTTATCCTTGTACATTCTATGCTTTCACTTGCTCCTTAATGTGACAAACCAAAACTCCCATCAAGTCTCTGACCTCATCTAAATGTTAGGATCTCAGGGCGATGTGTGTGTTATGCATCTAGTCCAGATTTTGTTCCTCTAAGACCAGGAAGCTCTAAAATAAACCTAAAAACTCGTCTCCATTCACACCCAATATACAGTTGCAATCTAGAGACATGTTGGAAGGACTGCTCAAACTTCTGGGGAAAAAAATTCCAGCCTAGATTGCTATACACAGTAAAAGTGTCCCTTTAGAGTAGTGTGAAGTAATATGAGAAATTTAATGGTAGGAATATAAAATGGTACAGCCACTCTTGAAATTAGTTAAGCAGTTTCTTACAAAAAAACTAAAGATATACTTCTATGAAACCCCAGCAATTGCAATCTTGGGCATTTATCCCAGAAAAATGAAAACATGCTCACGCAGAAACTTATGCACAAATTTATACAAATAGCAACTTTAGTCCCCAGATGGAAATGATCAAAATGTCTCTCAACAAATGAAAGGTTAAATAAACTGTGGTATATTCATAGCAATAAATACTACTTAGCAATAAAAAAGAACAAAGTTTTTTTTTTTTTTTGAGTCAGAATCTCACTCAGTCGCCCAGGCTGGAGTGCAGTGGCATGTTCATGGCCACCCTGGCGTCGACCTGCTGGGCTCAGGCAATTCTTCTGCCTCAACCTTCCAAGTAGCCAGAACTATAGATGTGCACTACCATGCCTGGCTAATTTTTTTATTTATAAGAAGAAATTATTGATACATACAACTTGTATTGATCTCAAGTGCATTATGCTGAGTAAAAAAAAAAAAAAAGCCAGTCCTAAAAAAAAGTTGTGTACTGTATGATTCCATTTATATAATGACAAAACTAGAGAAATGAGAGTAAAGATTACTGGTTGCCAGGGGTGAGGGATGCTGTGTGTGTGTGTGTGTGTGTGTGTGTGTGTGTGTGTGTGTGAGAGGG